CCTGTAAGGCACAAAGAAAGCCAAATTTTTACAATATTTGTCCCTGTACGAAGGACATTGTGTATGCTAGGTTTGAAGATTTTGTAACTCTTCTGTGCGATTTTATGAACGTTGTTAAGGCTTTCACTCGCTAAGAACTATGGGTAAATGTACCAGTCGCCATCTTTTTTCCTACGGAGGATTGGATAGAACCACAGCCTCGTTTGTACTGGCATCTCCAACAAAATATGTTGTTTTAGTATTTCCTTCGAGAACATCTTGTCATTGATTTAATTAGTGATTTTTACTACCTGACTTACATGCTTGATTAGTTTTTTGTTGTTGTAGTTTTTTTTATTAGATAATGGCACAAGCACAGGCCACCAGAGGAGATTCGTTAACGAGAAAGCTTCGTAATTATTCCGTAAAGTACGTGAAAATTTCCGAGCCTGAGATGTCTGACAGTAGAAGAGTGGTGAAAGATTATATTGAAGACCAGGTCATGAAGTACTGTCAGCAGAATTCCACACTTCCCATCTTGAGGCTGGAGTACACTGGGAGCGTGTATGAGAGGCTGAAAACCGAAGCTGCCAATGAAGTCGACGTAATGGTAGTGCTGCAGACGACTAAGTCAGAAGTTGTACTCGAAGGCTGCGGAGTACCTGGTTATGCCCGGCTCAAGACAAGAAGTGACTCAAAGTTTCGCACCCGTGATTATGTAAGCGCGNTACTGACATCTCCATCAGAATACGTTGCTTTAGTATTTCCTTCGAGAACATCTTGTCATTGATTTAATTAATGATTTTGAATAGTAATTACATGACTTACAAGCGAGATTGGTCTTTTTTTTTAATCAGATAATGGCACAAGCACAGGCCACCAGAGGAGATTCGTTAACGAGGGAGCTTCGTAATTATTCCGTAAAGTACGTGAAGATTTCCGAGGATGAGACGTCTGACAGTAGAAGGCTGGTGAAAGATTATATTGAAGACCAGGTCATGAAGTACTGTCGGCAGTATTCCACACTTCCAATCTTGAGGCTGGAGTACACAGGGAGCGTGTATGAGAGGCTTAAAACGGAAGCTGCCGATGAAGTCGACGTCATGGTAGTGCTGCAGACGACTAAGTCAGAAGTTGTACTCGAAGGCTGCGGAGTACCTGGTTATGCCCGGCTCGAGGCAAGAAGTGACTCAAAGTTTCGCACCCGTGATTATGTAAGCGCGGAGGGCTACATAAATGCTGAACGCCTTCGAAATGGCTGGTTCTACAGTCTTGTTGTCCAAGCAGTCAATAATTTCAGAGCTTCTAATGTAAACATGGTTGTGCGAACCCATGGCCCAGCAGTTCAGCTTGATATCGTCAGAAAGGGAACAAACCAGAAGTTACTATCAGCAGATCTTGTTCCTTGCTTTCAGGTGGGGCCAGACATGAGCTACTATGTGGCCAAGCCGTATACAGGGCGCAGACCAGTTTCCAATCGAGATCTTCTTTGGAGACAGTCGTTTTCATTGAAGGAAAAAGGAATCCTGGAGTACATGGATAGAGATCATGGCTGTAGGCACGAGCTCCTCAGAATCGTGAAGACGATTGTAAAGAGGAATCCAACGTACTTCGGGAGTCTGGAGTCATACCACTTGAAGACGGCCTTTATGCATTACATGAAGAGAGAGGCCCAGGGTTGGAGTAGCGGGAACGCATTGGAGAAACATTTCCTTGGTTTTCTCAGGGCGTTGCAGAGCTATTTGGAGATGAGTAATCTTCCTCATTATTGGCTGCCCGGCGTAAATCTTCTGGAAGACATCAACCCAGTGGTAACCAGAAACATGGCGGACCGTCTAAAGAGAATTCTGAACAGCGACGCGGAAATGAATAAAATTCTTGCATGAATCGGATTGAATAGATTTGGTTACACTCGAGATCTGAATTACATTAGCAGTGTATTAACAGTTTAATCGTATAGCTTGCTGTGACATTAAGACAAAAGTCTCTAGACTAAGAAATATAGTGAAGGACGTCACCTATCTAGGTCAAGCATGATTAATTCGAAAGCTTTGTGTTGCTTGAACCACTGGGAAATAATCTCAAAATCGAATCGATCACAAAATTAGCATGGAGTTAATTACTTGCTATTTATTTCCAGAGAGTGTAAAAAAGCTTTGTAAGATTAAAAGTGCAGAATTGCAGAATTTGATGGCGTCAGTAGGTATCCATTTGAGATATTGCATGGATATAGGGTCCATGCAGGAGCCATAATCGGGGACGGAGACCGTAAGCGCGCGCCATTTCTAGTATTGGGGTTGTCCCAGGGACGGGGGAGAACACTCTGCGACGCCTGGCACTTTTTTTGTGTTTGGATCATCCACCAAAAAGTGACGTCAC